CAAATTTTAACATCTTTGCTTCATATGCTGCAATTAGCATTAATACAAAACTGAATCATCAAGACCTTGCAATATCAGTATTATATTTCATTTCATTTCATCGACTTTAAATATAAAGTACAGGGTCGAAAAGTTACTTAAACCCACGACGATGATAACTAATAATAATAATAAATACTCGTTTTAATGTCAATCAATTGCGTTTTATGTTAAACAGCTGTGAGTCAGACCTCACGCTAACACTTAGCTTATATATGTACATACATTTGTATGTTCACAACAAAGCATATTGTGATGCTAAAGGGTAACCTGTTGCCTTTAGCTAACGGCTGAATGCTTCCCTCCACAACATGACTGTATTTGCAGGTATTACATAAATATTGATTGATTATTATTTATAAATAAACGCAAGGTGAGGTTGATTGATACATTTTCCATTATCCTTGGGGACAAACATAGAAACATAATAACGACAAAATTATTATCCCCCAAGGCAGCTTTGGTTAGTCCGCTGCTCATAAGGACCTATGGCCCATAATGTGCTTTTGACAGGTAAAAAAGGTGTGGGTGGGCGGGTGGTTGATTTTAGTTGTGTGGGCGTGCTCCAAATTCTGTTTGCACATTGTTAATACAAATTTGTGCTAGTGATTTAAGCTGTTTGCCAATGCTATAAGACATGACATTCGACTTCGTAAGGTACCCCAACTTCCAGATGCACATTGGATACGTACAAAATGGACATGGGAATGGAAATGGGAATGGTAAAAAAGCAATAAGCAGCAGAAGCAACCGACACGACAACCAAATGGAATGAAAGAAAGAAAAAGAAACAGCAACAACAATAATAAAATAAACCAACATACATGCACAGAGAAAAGTTATAAATAAACTATGAATAAAATTGAAAATGAAATAAAAGAGAGAAATCTGTGGCTTGATGGGTGTGTGAGTGTGAGTGTGAATGTGTATGTATCTATATGTGTTTGCGGTACGTGAGTAAGCATATATATATAAATATGTACGAACATATTAGTTGTGTGTATTCAGATGTCAAATATAAATGCACAATAACCCCAATGCACGAATCTTAAAATGGTAGCAAAACTTAAGCAAATATGGTAAACATGTTCAATAAAGGTGATCTTAAATAATACAATATATGTATATGTATATGAATGCACGTGCAAATATGCATATGCAAACACAGTGGCAACCAGCCATCCACCCACTTGTTATCTTCTATTCTAAACGATCGCATCCGACCGTCAAATTGCAAAAACATTGAACCTTAGGCTATATACAAGTGTAGGTAAATCCACATGTACACAATAGATACTAGTATGTATGTATGTATGTATTTTAAGAACAGCAACTTTTGTGCTTTGCTCTTTTTTAGGTCAATTGCCATGTTTTCGTATAGTTATTGACAAATATAAATAAAAGAGATGAGACAAAAACGAAACAGAGCGCAACGGCGGAGTATTGACTATGATTTTAATTTCTAAATTCCGACAAATGTATGTATGCATAGATATATGGGTGCGCATTTATAGCTATACACCCAATCAGCCACTCCCTCCCGTTTCAATAGTGGAGCCAGCAAAATCAGCTCTTAGCAATGAAGTGAATTGTATGCGTCATGGACTGCGTCATTTTTTGGGCATGCCTCACAATGAGGAAATAGTGCGACTGCAAGAGTCAGCCACACACTATTTTTCTTTATATAGAAGTGTGTGTGTGCCCACATACATACATGCATGCGTTCTTTTTTGTGTAATTGTGTGTGTTATAAAAAGAAAAACCCGCTAATAGTAAGCGAAATGTCAGTGCGACAACGACGGCGGCATTGGCTTCGGTCACTGGTACAGATTGAAGATAACGGCAAATAAAATTTGAAACCGTTTGTTGAATTCTGCGATGACGGCAACTTTGACTGCTGCAAACGGCGCTAGCCTATGCGAATACCAGTGTGTGAGTATGTGCGTGTAAGTATGCGAGTGTTGAAAATACACCACACCGAGCGGCAAAGTGTAAATTCACCACACCGGCCCCATGAGGTCGCGACGACAGAGATTCGGCTACACGGCGTTACGGCTACATGCGCAGTACAGACGGAAAAAAATATATAGAGAAATGCAGATAAGCAGAAAATTCCAATACACAACGTTTTCAAAACCAGACACAAGTAATGGGAGCCTTCAACAGTTTTATTGCACCCCTGCCCTGTTTACATTTGGTGGATTTGATGTTAAATTCAACATCTATGTTTTGAGCTTAAAAAGCAACAAATCAAATTACATATGTACACATTATCCAATGTATTTACGCATATGAACGTACATCAGCTAACAAGAAACAAGTGTGTCTGCCTCATAGTGAGGGAGAGGGTTGTGAAGAGCAACGCAACAAAAAGTATAAAAATAATCCCACCGGAGAGCGAGAGAGCACCACAAAGAGAACACACACTTCCAAAGGCAGCAGCGATTGCGAGAGCAGTGCGGTATAAAAGAACACGTAACCGCGTGTGTCGTCCACTTACATACATACATACACATATGTATGTACACTCATATGTATATATCTTCATATATATATATATATTTGTATATATATAAAAGTAATATATATTATTATATCTAAAAAAACAAATTTATATGTAGTAAATTGTAAAAGTAAATCCAATAAAAACCAAGTTAACAATGTACGTGCATAAATGCCCATACATAAGTCTGTGAAAAATAATCCAAATGGATTAGCTTTTTTAAATATACAATGCATAAGATAGAAATTTCATTTTTTACAAAGCAAATATCGCCGCAGCACACTTTTAAATGTGCATATGCGTAATACATTCGGACTGGCGTACATATTTACATACACAGTCACACACACACAGTCATTCGCTCGGACGTTCGTATGCAAGTATTTTAGCTATTGACGACTAAAACGCCTAGCGACCAGAACACACTTAAGCACCACAATTCGCCTTCGCATTAGCCAAGTCAGTTGTTGCCACGGCCGCCAACAATCAACCAAAAGCACTGAAAATATACGAAGCTACAAACGAATCTCACGTCTACATATATATATGTAGAAGTATACATATATATATATTCACACGGACACACACTAATACAAAATATACCAATACTAGCGCACAGCGGGCATTTGTACATATACATGTACAAATGTATGTATTTTTGCACAAATTCACAGTTCTGAACATTTTCGTCTTTTTGCGTAGTATTTTTATCGATCGTTCCATGGAAGCATGTAGAAAATTTTTTCATACATGCGGCGTTTGCACATGTTCTCGGCGAATTGAAAAATGTATTAAAATTGCATAAACTACCGAAATGCACATGTTTATTGCATCGCCTTAAGGCTTAAGGTTTTATAATAAATATATTCATATGTGGGTACATATACATATTTCGCCCCATATTACTAATGCAAATTGGTTACCTTACATTCGATTCACTCGAAACGACAACGACGACTACCAACGAACGGCGAACGACTAAAAGTGACGGCAAATGTTGCACACAGTAAGTGCTGTATCTGTGTGTACGCCTATTTGGTATGTATGCATGTGTTGGTGGATTTCACACATTCATAAATACACACATAAGCGGTAGCGCATGCCGCTACAGCAGATGAGAGAGCGAAAAAGTGTGTGTGAGAGAGAGAGAACAAAGAGAGCAATAGGTAAAAATTAGTGTTGCCAACCTGGCTACAAAAACTAAGTTGCCAGGTGTAACACAAGTGAACTGGATTCGTTGAGTTTCGAATGACCTGTTGTTGTCATGCCTAATCCATCAATTCGAAAAGCAGCTTGTTGATTAAGTTATGTTACTACAGCTGAGCAAATTTGTTAATAATTATACATATGACGTATTGCAGATTTTTACGTTAAGTGCCGTAAGCACATACTAATTTGTTGTTGGCCAATGCAAGCTGCAGTTTTGTACATTGTATGACGCATGCCACAATAATGTTGGGGAGGAGCTTGGCAGCAGCTGCTGCTGCTGTTGCTGTCGTCAATTGTGCGCAATTGTCGTTTAATTGAGTAATTTGAATGAGACGAACGTCCGTATGTTAAATTTTTAAATTCGAATGTTACGCGAGTTGTATTTGTGGCCTTGTACGTGTCTGTTTGTGCGTTGTAAAATTGACCAACAATTACTAATAATTCTAAAAATCTTAATTAAAATGAAAATCCAAAATACATTACGCCTTTCGCTAAGCCCTTGAATTGCGCTCAACGCACAGACGAATTTGTACCTGTTAAAACCTTCTAGCTCTTATCTCTGGCACGCTGATTAAATTTATTTTTTCAACTTCACGGGCTGTGACGGCGCCTTATCAGCAATTATGTGCTTTTGATAAGCTCCAGTAAATTATTGCCTTAATTCTAATGTTGATTTTCATTGAATTGCGCTAAGTATATCCGAGTCGAGGCAGACATTGTGCGACAAACCAACGCTTTTTGAAATTTAACTGATTAAAAAATTTCTTATCGTTGGCAATGCTGCCTCGTTTGACTCGTCTATTCACAAAATTACGTCATCAGCGTCCTACTTGAAACAGTAAATTTTGTTCAGACGCATTTACAAATATATTTTCCTTGATGTTACACCTCATATATCTGATACGCGGTTTCTTGCATTTGTTTCAATATTTAGAATTGGAAATCAATTCAGTTAGCGTTTTAAATCGATACATGTGGAAAATGCGGTCTCTCAATCTCTGGCCGACAACATGGCGCACCAAGTAACACAATTGCGTAGAGTCGAAATATATTACTCACTGCGACTTAACAACAAAAACACAATTTTAGAATGTTGATAGATGACACAGATACACAAGTAGACAGGTTAATATAGTACTTAAGCTTAATTATATTTTCTAAGAATTTTTCTTATAAAATTACTACGTAAACACACCTTTCGTCGGCTATTGCTGCAGTGTGACCGGGTTAAATAAACGTTATAAATCACAATGTGCAATTGGTGTGGCTGCATGGCATACATTAAACGCGTTGGCAGTCCATTAATAATCGATATGATGAAAATCGGTATAGTGTGCATCGATACAGCAATCATCGTAGCGGTCGCACGTGTTTACTTCGGTGTTTAAACTTGAGAAAGAATCAAGCTCGGAATATACCTACATAAGTCAAAATGCCGCGCTCTAAACGTGATAAGAAAGGCAAGGAATAGATCAAATATTCTTTACAGAATGAAATATATTACTTTTATATTGACCTTACTCGCAGTTTCCTTAACTAAGACTGATCGCAAGGGTCTCGCATGGAAGCAACGCATCATCGACGACATTCGATTTTGTGTGGAGAAGTATCCAAATATATTTGTGTTCCAGGTGCAGAATATGCGTAATAATCTGCTTAAGGATCTCCGACAAGAATGGAAACGCAACTCTCGTTTTATTTTTGGCAAAAATCGTATAATGCAAATCGGCTTGGGCCGCACAGAGGCTGAAGAAGTGGAAACTGGAATACATAAGGTACCATTGGAAAGAAATTCTGTAAATTGAAGAAAACAGCTTAAACAAGTATCTCTTGCAGCTATCGAAACGTCTTAATGGTCAGGTGGGTCTGCTATTCACAGAGAAGACCAAGGAAGAAGTACTAAAATGGGCAGAAAACTATTGGGCCGTGGAATATGCGCGTAGCGGGTTTACAGCAACAGAAACGGTTACCTTGCCAGCCGGACCCCTAGAGGAGTTTGCACACTCAATGGAACCGCATTTGCGTTCACTGGGTCTGCCAACCAAACTGGAGAAGGGCATTGTAACCATATACAGCGATTATACAGTTTGTGAAGAGGGCAAAGTGCTGACACCAGAGCAAGCGAGAATTCTTAAATTGTTGGGCAAGCCAATGGCCAAATTTCGCTTGACCATGAAGTGCTCGTGGACCAAGGCTGATGGATTCCAACTGCATGTTGAAGATGATGTGGAGGAGGACGAGAATAAGGCAACAGATAGCCCAATGGAAGAGGAGGAAGGTGACGATGCAGATGAAGATATTGATGAAGAGTAATTAGCTAAGATTTCATTAGAAATTAAGTTTTATGTATATGTATATAATAATTATATATATAGCTATTACAATCCACTGTTGCTTACTTAGGCGGATGAGAGATTTCCACTGCCACTGCCAGCGCTCTTCTTGGTGGTTCGATATGCAATCACATAGCGCTGTGCCACCGGCAACGGCTCTGCGTAGCCATTCAAATAGGATGAATCTTCGAAGAGCACTTCATACTCTTCCGTTGCAGTTTGTGGCAGGCGATGGACAATAGCCTTATAGAAACATGTTGTTTGAGGATACAAAGCCATTACTAGATATTGAAAAAGATAGTTTGGAATAAGGTGAAGTAATTTGAAGGGAATCATAAACTACGCACCGACTGTATCCTTGGGAAAGAGTGCATGCCCGTCTGTTTCTGGATTGGCGCGCATTAAGGGCAAGGGAATAACTTTGCGTTTGCTCAGCACATGTCGATCCTTCTGCTCCTCGTCTATGTCAATGACATCGTATTTGTTTTGCCGATGTAGAAACTGCACAACCTCAGCCAGTATCCAGTTCTCCTCCTCATCTATGCCTTTGGCCAACGCAGCCACATTGTCGCCTACCTTGGCCACATAGCTGCTCTCGGCAGGTATTGCTCCGCATAAAGCTGGCGCACGCTCGCCCGGCTTGCCAACAAAGAGAGGCAATGTCTGAGCCGAGAGCTGCACCATTTTCATGAGGGCACCACGACGGATGGCTTCCTTGTTGCCAGCATTACGAGCCTGTGAATATATAAATATATAAGCATTGAGTACCTTAGCGTTTTAAACTTATTCCCTTACCTGAATACGTCGTTCGTTACGTATGTTTCGTATTTCGTGTATTTTAGCGAGGGCTGCTCTAATTGTTGCTTCTTCCTGTGTTGCCTCGAGAATCTTCGACTGCAGCAGCGTCTTTAGTTTCGGATTTGGATTTTGTTGGGCACGCACAAGACTAGCAATCGAATTTTCAGCGCGACGTCTCTCATTATCCACTTTGTGAATATGTTGTTGAATGTCCTTCAAACGATCCTGTTTTAAATCAAATTTTATAATGAAATGTTTCAGGATGTTAATGTTAATGTAGTTATTACACACCTGAATTTGTTGTGCAGCACTTTCTGCAGTAAGTGGCATTGTATTTTTTTATATCTTTTATTATTTGTTTATATTTTTCTGTACTAAACAAAAAGATGCACTTTTTGTATTGTACGAATATAATGGAATGACAGCTCAGTCATTTTGCTGGTATTTTTAAGTAAACAGAATGCACTAAATTAGGCAGACGGTATTAGTACTACGCGCTCAAATGTAAAAAAGACGGTGTAATTTTATTAGCAAAAAATACTCTTTTTATACCGAAAACGAGTATTTGTCAAGCATCGGACTGTTCGATAACTTAATAAAAACATCTATCGGTTAACTGCCGCACTTCACAGTGAAAGCTGGGGAAAGTCGTTTTTAAACTTAATGTTAGAATATTATTTATTTTAGTGTTAAATCATAATGTTTTCGGCAACGTGCGTCGCGCCTGTTAATATGGCCCTAGTTAAATACTGGGGCAAACGAAACGAGGAACTAATACTGCCGATCAATGATTCCGTAAGCATGACACTAGATGCTAATGAGATGTGCGCAAAGACCACAATAAGCGCATCGGAGAGCTTCAAACAGAATCGAATGTGGCTGAATGGCGATGTTGTGCCCTTCGAGGAGAATGCACGACTGATGCGTTGCCTGGAAGGCGTACACCGTCTGGCCCTGGCCAATGGTGCCCACAAATTTCCATTGTCGTGGAAGGTGCACATAGCATCGTACAACAATTTCCCCACTGCCGCTGGGCTGGCATCGAGTGCAGCTGGATATGCGTGCCTCGTCTATACGCTGGCACGCCTCTACGATTTACCTTTGAACGAGGAACTAACTACAATCGCCCGTCAGGGCAGCGGCTCAGCGTGCCGTAGCTTATACGGCGGCTTTGTGCATTGGCAACGTGGCTCAGCCTCTGACGGCAGCGACTCCATTGCCGTGCAGTTGGCACCCGCTGAACATTGGCCCAATATGCATATGCTTATACTAGTCGTGAACGATGCACGCAAAAAGACCGGCTCGACCAAGGGCATGCAACTGGGCGTTAAGACATCCTCATTGATACAGCATCGAGCTAAAGAGCTTGTGCCGCAGCGCGTTAAGGATCTGATGGCGGCAATTGATGCACGTGACTTTGACACTTTCGCGGAGATCACCATGAAGGAGTCTAATCAATTGCACGCCATCTGCCTGGACACATACCCGCCGTGTGTCTACATGAACGATGTCTCGCATGCAATTGCGAATTTCGTGCACGATTACAACGAGACAATGGGCGCCTTGCAAGCTGCCTACACTTTTGATGCCGGCCCAAATGCCTGCCTCTATGTGCTGGCCGAGAATGTGCCACGTCTTTTGGCTGCCATTCAATTGGCGTTTCCCAATGATTCCTCACAAAGTGTTGAATATCTCAAGGGTATTCCCGTGCCACCGGTTGAGGTCAAGAACGGTCTTAGGGACGCGGCTACAGGACATGTGAATGCCAAGAATATGCTCAAATATATAATCCATACGAAAATAGGAGCAGGTCCTCAGCAGCTAAGTGAAGAGAAGAGCCTGCTAATCGATGGCTATCCACTGACCAAATAGCTTAGTCTCCATAAACTCATACTCTCTATATTCCGGGCTGAACTTAGCTTAATTATTGGTGTTAATTACTAGAACATTTCTAGCTAGGTCTTGGGGAACTTTTCATACAACTCTTAAGGTATACATCACTTATTTATCTTTCTACTTTTTTATTGTTGTTTAGTCATATATAAATATATAATATATATAAATATATATATATATATATATATTATATTATACATTATTTATTGTTTCTTTTACAAATAAATATGATCTTTTCTTTATTTGTTCTCAGTTTTTGTTTAAAGATCCATAACTTAGATACATATATTTACATATTTAACGTGAAACTGCTTTGTTTTGTGATTTTTCTTTGGAATTTTTTTAACATAAATAAACATTGCTTCAGTGTGCATGCAAATTAGAGATGGGAGCGTGATTAGCTCCGCTATGTGCCTTAAAACAGTATCGGATTGAAGCGTGACAAAGAAGGAAAACAAAAACAATAACAAATGGCAAAAGGTGACAATAAACGTCTTCTGACGACATCTATAAACATTTCGAATTTTAAGCAATAAAAAAAAACAAACCATGAAGCAGATGTAAAATTTTGTATTCTAGGCAAAATATAATCAAATTAGAGTTACCATAAGCCCTTCATAGTGTTTTATAAAAAATATATTTATATGTATATGTGAACAAATTAAAATAAATGTTTTTTTTTACGAAAAGCTGATCTTTGTTATTATATGGGTAAAGCAGCTGAGTTTTGACTTCCAAAATAAATTTGTCAATAAATCCCCGAACTTTATAAGCAATAAAAACGTTCCGTGGATTTCAGTAAATTTATATAATATATATATATATATTCTTACAATCAACATATATAGAATACTTCTTCATCTTATAAATAAACATAGGGGTAACCGTATGTATGTAAGTATATGTACATCTATAACTAAATAAAAAGTACTTTTCAAAAGCAATAAAAAAGAATTGCAGCAAATAAGGCATTGCACGTTAGTGTTATTAAAGTTTAGACAGAATTAAATGATTCTATATATATATAAATAGGCACTCCAAGTTAAATGGTTTCCATTAATCAGCCGGTAGACTCACTGCAGTCCGTCAAATGGTCAATTGTTTCGATTACGACATGATTACTTGGTAGTGTGTCTAAATCGAAGGTATTCGATGATGCGTTAAGTAAAAGTTCTAAAGATATCTCCTGCTCCAAGGCCACTGTCGACAGCAGAACAACACCACTCTCCGCATCTACGGCCGTTTCGATGGTGTCCTCCATTTCCTGATCTTCCACCTCCTCTGTCTCTGCTTCTGTATCATTGTCGTCTGATATTAAACTCGACATATACTGCTGGACAGTCTCCTCGGTGTTATCCCTATGTTATTTGCCCGCTAGCAAGCCGGTGCAGCCCGCATCCACATGTTCCATAACCTGTTGCTTCAGCTGCGCTACGTGATCTTTCAGAGTTTTTACAATGCCCGCCAAATCAGTGTTCTCGCCCTTAAGGATTTTGACGCGATCCTCCAGCTTTGATATGCGTTCTAGTTTACGTTTGCGACACTTTGAAGCCGCGACGCGATTCCGTTGACGTTTACGCTCCAGCTTAATCTTTTCTTGATCAGCCATATCAATGGGACTAACTGTCGGGGAAGCCACTGCATTTTGTGGCTCATCCTTAATGACGGGAAAACCATCTATAAATAGGAAATGCCGATTAGACACTGCTAGATTCTGTATTATCAAAGTAAATGGTACTCACCCACGCTGGTGTAGGTGAACCCCCCACTGATACCATTATTCACGGCTGTCATGGTGGCTGGGACAACAGCAGCTGGATTGCTGGCAGCCGTTGGAGCGTTGGTATTGCTGCCCAGAAACGCCTGAGTGTTTTTACTTGTGTGAAGGCTCTGGAGAGCCTCTTCAAAGCCTTTGCCGAAGGCTTCCTGTTCCGAGGTAATGGGACCCACTTTAGTGGGGAATACTGTGCCAGGTTGCGGCGTTTGCAACATGCCACCTGAGAGTAAAATTTTTTCAAGGTCCGGCGTGTTGAGTGTCTTTATAGGTACATCAGGTGAGTCTATAAGCAAAGGTGCCATTGTGCGCTTGTTTTTCTTATTAAGGTCCAGGAAAGCAGGACGTTTGCTGACGTTGGGAGTTGAAGTGCTGTTAGGGGTCTGAAATTCCATTGACTCCTCGGTACCAATTGGATCTGGTTCCGTTTTAGGTACTATCGATGCGGCGGTTGCGTTACTACTGTTTGTATTGCTGGCGAGCGCAGCAGCGGAAGCGGCAGAAATTTTCATTTTTTTCCTTTGAAT